AAAAACACATGGAAGATATGGTGACCCTACCCAACTAAATCAAACGCCCCTGGTTTCCATCTCTCTGGAATTATGCTCACATAGAACATAGCCCCAATGATGTAAAACAATCCCATGGCTCCCTCGTAAGCTAGCATCACAATCCTCTAAGAGCCGCTACAGTATACAACTAGAGCATGGATAGCGGGAATCAACCCAAATAGCCCCATAACAATGAACAAACAGGCCTGAAATGACATGTATTTAACCCTTGCAGATGCAGAAGTTAAGAGAGTGGGGGTAAATGAGTAACCCATATGCCAATGATTGTGGTTCCGATTAGGTAGACGATGTGCCAGGGTGGGCCGGGGAGCATTGGAAGCTGTAGTACATGGGGGGGAAGTAGGAGGTGAATATCATGACAACTATTCCTATGTAGTCCATTTGGGTCAGTACAAGAGTCAGGGGTTGGGAGTGGCAACAGAAGAGGTGGCATATGCTGCTCGATAGGAAACAGAACATTGAACCTGCTAAAAAGACGCACAATGGCCATGTTGATGCTGCACTCATCTCTCTTGTTTTTATGTCCATTTGTGATTCTTTACCTGTCACCATCCAATCAACCATCCGAGTTGGCACTCCCTACAAAATATCTTTTGTATCCCTAGAAATATTGGCCACTGAACCAACAACGAAGTTCTTTAAGAACACTGTCATGAAATCAGCTAACTGATATAGATGGGAACAATTTGCCACAATCAGTACCAAAAGACACTACTCTTTTGACTAAGATCACTACAATGTATGAAAAATTATTTGTGTTCATAGCTCAATGCAGAAAGGAGTCAAGGACAACAAATTACTCTTTTGACAAAAACTAAAGAACCGAAAAGACATAGTAATGTAAATCAATGAAAGTATCATGAGTAGTACAACTGAACCAAAGACAATTCTCACGGATGGCATATGAATCAAATTAGGGGTTCTAATTAAAAGAAACTTACGATAGTATTTACAAATTGAAAAAATCACATGAAATTAAAAGCAAAACTCAACTTTTGACCATATACCATGAAATTTTCAAAAACACAAGTGTTTGATTAAAGGCATTGGCTACAAATCGAAGTATATTAAAAAATTGTATATATAAGAACCATAATAGTCCCCTTTCGTACAAAGAGAAGAAGAAGAAAACACAAGAGTAAAGTTGTAAACAACAAAACTATTACATATTCAAATTAAAAGTTTCAAATGAGTTTGCAAAGTATGGAATAATGAACTCTAATAGTAAAAGGAAATTGCTTACTTCATATAACTCTATTATTAATTAACAAAATGGGGAAATATATCTCATCGGATGCTTGATATCTAGCAAAAAAAATACCTCTTTCTTATATCCGTAACCTTGTCCTTTGAAGTGTATTAGTTTGCTCTTCTGTATGCTAGGCTGTGCCAGAATACATAAACACTCCATACTCCCACGGTCCCACCTCTTAGGCAGCAACACCATGTTGCTTTTTTTTGTTTCAACCAATTCAAGTAAGATAATCTAGGCAGCCCGACATATGTTACCTACTCTTTTTTCATATTACTTTCAAGTAAATCCTGGCATTGATTGGAACAAATAACAGATTAATGTAATTATTTGGAAATAGCAGTAGGGTTGTTTTCACAGTGTTGCTGAAATGAGTTTAGTTGCTTTCATATTTTTTCAAGTAAATTCTGCCATTCATTTGGAATGAATGACATGTTAATATGATTATCTGGAAATTGCATTAAAGTTGTTTGGCTAGAAAGTGAATGAGAGCTTATTGTATTATACGCTCCAACAAAAACTATCAAAAAGTGAAAGGTGTTATCACTGACAATAAAATCCACAGTTTCATTCAAGAAGCATTAGTATTCTTGGGATTCTTTACAAATTAGCCAGAAATAAACAAACTTATTTTGTTATCATTCTGTAGCTAAACAAAACAAAATGTCCAAATCAACTGTATAGTTCGAATGAAGTTGAATACTATTCTTAAATTATGTGTGTGCCTTCTTTAAGAACACAAAACCTATTCTCAAAGTGTTCATAAATTAAGCCCTAGACCAAGCAGAATAATGTAAAAACAAAAACAAAAAAAGCAGAATAGTGTTGTTAAAGTATTCTTAAGTTCATTGACAATTTTAATGAACTGAAAGTTTCTTACAATAAGTTAGTCACTGGCACGAAAGTTCATAATTTCATCGGCGAAGCATTAGCATTCTCAAATAGTTAAATCTTGTTTATATTGTCTCCACTCCTATAATCCTTCGTGTTATTGGAGCAATGGTGGTCTTTTGGAGTTTGCTTAACCAATATGGTACATTTTTGTGCAGCTCTATTTAACAAAAAAAGAAAAGCATATTGAATAGTTAGATGAGTTTATTGCCTCACTTTAAACAATTACAGTAACTTAGTTCTTGCTGAAAAATTTGGTTAACACTTAACATAAAGTGTGAGCATCTCTGGCTAGAGAATCCATAGTTTCATTCAAAAAGCATTAGTATTCTTAGAATTTTTAACAAATTAGATTCACAATAAGCTCTCAGTCACATTCTACTCAAATAACCTTAATGTAATTTCCAGATAATCACATTAATATGTCATTCATTCCAAATGAATGGCAGAATTTACTTGAAAAAATATATGAAAGCAACTAAACTCATTTCAGTAATACTGTGAAACAACCTTAATGCAACCCTAATGTAGTAAAATTAATTACTTGTTTGAATAGGAATTGAAACAAAGAAACTCAACTAAAAATTCCTATAACTTTAAAACGAAATCTAACCTGAACTCCGGTTAAAAAGTATATTCCCCACAAATGTAAATAAAAAGTATAGAAACATGAAATTACGTAACTTGATGAAAAGTTACATAGCAAACTGGTATGAAAATAATTTTATTTCAGTGACCCCATATCTACCCTTGATTCTTTATTTAGAAAGTTGTGAATTTACAAAAATATATCTTATCTAATAGAATAATGGAATTGGTAATATTGAATCAATGAAATTAATTTTAAAAAAATACAAACAATGAACTCACCGGTTCGTCTGCAATTTCGGTATTTAGAGCTTCGAAACTGTTTGGGAGAGAGATGAAGGCTAATTATCTAATAGAATAATAAAATTGGTAATATAGAATGGAATTTGAACAACCCTGGAAAAACAGTACCTCATCACTCATAAAGATGAGGTTGCGGAACATACAACTGGTGTTTAAAAATCTGAAGCCATAAATGGAGGTACATATGGTATTTGAACAAACGAGGACGAAGATGGCCAGGAAAAGTGGCACCGATATGATTGCAGGGGCGTGGCCTCTTCTTCTGCGGCCATGACTTCCTATAACTTGGAGGAGCGATGTGGTTATGTGAGGAATTGAGAGATTTTCTATGGCTGTTCGATTGAAGGTGAGACTACGGCTGAGGAGAAAATGAAATAAGCCGTTTACCCACAGCCATAGAGATCGATACGGAATGCTGCGGATGAAATGGCTTAGGCAATGAGCGGGAAAATGAGGCTCCTTCAAATAATTCAAGTAGGATGATTTTTCCATCTATTTGTACCCCATGTTTGTGAACAAAAAAGACCTTAAACAGGCCATCCAAATACTTCCCTCATAAGGAAAGCCTAAGCAGCCATATGCACGTTAAGACAAAGCACTTTAATAATTCATTCATACTTTAATCAGTATGCAATATATGAGTGCTTGAATCCAAATTTATGCATGTTGCATATTTCAACAACACACTTTTAAAATCACTGGTTTATTAGCTTTTGGAGACCAATATGGGAAACACAACAAATTGATACTACTAATCATTCATATTTATATACGTAGTAATAGGTTTTTTAACATCTCTCGTAAATAAAATTACATATTTCTATAATGACGTGACAAATAGAGACAAGATATATGTTATTCAAGGTTGGCTCATTGTCAAATGAAAGTAAAGATGCAAAATATATGCAGCCTACCTATCACATATGGAGTAACTTTTTAAAATTGCAATTCTCATTTTCAATAGCATAATTAAGTTAAACTGCAAATGTCTAAATTGTGAGATATCAGTTTAAATAATTCAATCTCATTGAGAACCAGATAAAACTAGCGGAATATTGCCGATAAATCATGGGTGCAGATGAGAGGAGAGAAAGAACAAAAAATTAACATCTGTACAATGTACATGAGAGGACCTTATTCTATCAGAATAATTGAAGTCCTGAAGTCTATTCCTGAGGAACTTGTGTAAGTTTTGAATTTTTTTAGTGTGTAGATGTTTTAGAATCATGGAGGGATAGAGATATGAGAAGATTACAAGCTTGATTGTGTTATGAATTATATATGTTAGAACAATGGAAGTATCTGGATTAGAGAAGTTTAAAAGCTTGAATGTGTTATCAATTATATATGTTAGAATAATGGAAGCATAGAGATTAGAGAAGGCTACAAGCTTGAAAGTGTTGTCAATTATATATGTTAGAATAATGGAAGTATAGAGATTAGAGAAGCTTACAAGCTGACCAAGCACTCCAGCCTAACTGGTTGCGAGGTTACCGTGCCTAGTGGGAGATCTCGATTTCGAATCCCGCTAGGCACACAAGGGTTTGAAACTCAATGGAGTTTCAGCCCTGATTACTCCAGGCTTCCCCAGCCCCCCTCCCCCACACCCCTTGGAGTAAAAAAAAATGAAAAAAAAAAAGAAGCTTACAAGCTTGAATGTGTTGTAAAATATTAATTATATGAAGTATATGTGTGTGGACTATGGACTTAAAAACTTCCTCATGTACCAGTAAGGCAGTCAGGCAGTGAGGCAGTAATAGACTAATAGTAAACGGAAAATCAAGAAATAGAATTTATGAAAAAGTACTTCTACAAGCAGTTTATATAGCGTGAATGTGTGATTATGAAACCTCAATTGAGTCACCACTCACCCCGGTCCAGAATACAATCCACCATTCAGAAGCGACTAATATCTCTGGGGGGCCTAAAATGAAGAGGATGAGTTCTCGGGGTGGCATTTACGTCCTCTTTCCACATCTTTATGGTTTTATCAGCCTCACAAGTAATCAGCCTTGAACCAGTGACATCATATGCCATTGCATAGATGCCAGCCTCGCTTTCCAGTGACCCGGGTTGAGCAATTATCTGTGATTGCTGGAAACTGTGGCCACTCCTCCAATCCCAGAACCACAAGCTCCCATTATCACCTCCTGTAGCCAATACCCCTTCCTCATTGACAGCCATGGCATTGATAATCTCTTTCTGCTGGGATAGCATGTTATGCAGAAACTTTCCTTCTGGGAGGTTGAACTTCTTTATGTTGTCAGCAGAGGCAGATGCAAAAGCTTCCTCCTTTGGATGCAATGCCATCGCCCGGACAGATTTCTTGTGGTGGGTGAGTGTTGACATGGTCTTGCCATTCCTGAGGTCCCAGAAATTCACAGTTGAATCATGTGAGCCAGTAATGACTTGAGGGTCCAATGGCCGAGCAAGAACCGAGCAAACTGTGTTCTCATGCCCTGACAAGGCATGAACTTGAGTCTTTTTTCTGATGTCCCAAACCCTGCACACTGAATCACGACCCCCGGTTAGCAGAAGATCAAGGGTGGGGTGTAGAGCCAAGCAATAGACACCGCTTAAATGACCATGATAAGACCGAATCACCTTGTTCTGTTCAAGATCCCAGCACTTGACTTGTTTATCATCGCCAGCAGAGAACATGTAGGTGTGTTTGCTGCTAACTGCAAGGCCTCTTATTTGTTCAATATGACCAGTAAGGGTGAGCTTTAGAGTCCCGGTTGCTAAATCCCAGATCTTGATTGTTCTATCTGCTGAGCCTGTACAGAACCACGCATTGCTGGGGTCCACTGCAACAGACCGCACCGAACCCAAGTGCCCGCTGATGACCCTGTAGTTCTTCCAGGGCGCATGCCACTCAGGGTGTGGCCAATCACTTGGTGTTCTTTCCATGGTTGCAGCGGCCACCAATCTTCTTCTCCTTTCTTCACGCCTATAATTCTTTCGCCGCCGCTTCGGAGCACCTCCGTCGTTGTGGTCTTCGATGGAGCTTGTCAATCGCCGCCGGTTTGAATCACCTTCGTTGGTGTCTTCGATGGAACCATGGAAAGAACTTTTAATTAGTGGGCTTTAATTACTTTTAAATGGCAGGAGGCTTGGAGTTCGTTTCCAAAAAAAAATCGCTGGAGTCCGTTTCTAAAAATTGGTTGGAGTCCTAGAGGAGAGAGTTATGAGTTTTTTTCTGTATTAACGTTAACTAGTATCTTTATCCATGCCGTGCACGGGATAAAATGATTTTGTTGTTTAGTTTAAATAACGGAAAATTACTTATTTAGTCGATTATAACATTGTTTAAAATGCATATTCTAATTTATTGAGTATGTCTTATTTTTAAACTAATTACCTAAATATGTTTCCATTCTATATATAAAAAATGTTTCCATTCTATATTTTCCAAAAACAAAACATACTTTTTATAACATCGAGTTGAATCCAATTGAAATTAATCTATTTTTACCAAAACAAAAACAAAGTGCTTGATGCCTATTTTATCCATTAAATTTCATCTGTGGCTTGTGTTTTTTCTCAAAACTAACTACACATTTTTGTAATTTAAAAAGGGTGTAGTCAACGTTTTAATTATATTGTCCCTTCTAGGTTTTAGAAATTTTCAAATTAGTCTTTTGATCTCTTTCTTTAAGAAAAGAGAGTTTAGAATATATAGTGTTGTGACATTCCGATTTTAATGAAAGCGATGACGGTGACAATAGTCTGCATATTGAGATTGGAAGCAAACGATTTCTTTTTCATTAGCTTGAGTTATTAAATGTATATATAATAATCTTTTTAAGTAAAATAAGTATTATTGAACAAAGAAAAGTTGCATGCTTTAGACTTTTAATAAACAATTTTTACCTAGAAGGTCAGATGACGAATAAAACCTATAAAAAAAATTATCACATCAAAATGTAGCTATAATTGAATCATAAACATGTCAAATTATGCACGCCTCCCATATTCAGGAACGAATAATGATCTCAATTTTCATAACCACATAGTATTATATTAAAGTTACATCAATGAGTACGTAAAAGAATTACTCCGTACCTTTTATACATAGTCTAGTTTATCTATCTAGCTCTTAAACATCACTTTAAGTGTCACGATATTACAATATAATGTAATTATTAAAACTTTCCAAGAGTTGAAAGTCTTGGACAAAATACATCAAGATTATATTAATATATACGATAGTACACTAAAAAATAACTTTTACTTTCATAAATGAGATAAAAGAATTGATTTCAATTGAAAATAAAATTAATTAGAAAGGTGAACATAAATTTGAGATAGCATTAAGACAAATTTGTATTTAGCAAATTTTTAAACATGTAGTCTTTCTATTTTAATTTTTTCCACTTTCATTTTATCATACGATCCATATGATAATTTGTGAAAATTTGAGTTTCCATCAATAGTGATATTATTAAAGTTGTATGAATGCAATTTAAAAATCGGAAAATGAATACTATATAGGTTAGGCAATTCTATTCTAGTTGAACCATCTCATTGAGAAATTGGTGGTTTGGAGCTATTAAACACATCTTACCTTTATTTTTATTTTAGTTTTGGCAAAAATATTACCTTTATTTTGAAATATTGACTTATATAGATTACTTAAATGAATTCATTGCATAACTTCATACAACAACAACATTCAAGTCATAGTCCCAAAAAATATTGTGGTCGTCATTGCATAACTTCATACATGAATAAAATTCATATTCATCATTTTGAAATGTTTTTAAAAAATTCATTTTTTTTCTTTATTATATTGTTATCAACGAATTAGGTTTTGAGGTCTCCTATATAATTTTCAAAGTTTTTTTTTTTTTGCATTTTAGTACCAAATTAATTATGTGTCATCATCTCAATATTTGGTGACAAATAAAAATTTACTCATGAATACTTTTAAAATATAGATTATTAACTCCATAATAAGTTAATTTAATTTTGTAGACCTATCTCACTTCTGCTTGTAGAATGAATATATAACCACATAGTAAGCTAATTAACTTCAAATTTTACTCATGAATACTTTCAGGAGATTTATTAAATTCTAATCTAATATATATGAAGTTCTAAGTTTTAGGAGGACTCTATCAAAAATGTTTTTAATTGGACTGCTTTTTTATTTGATTTGTCTGTTATGATCGGATTTGGCCCTGTTTGTATGATCTGATCAGGTCATATTATTCAAGCAATTTTTTTTAACTCTTGGCCAAAGAGATTTACCCCATCCAACGTTACTAACAATATAGATGCAACATTTCAAAGTTAAGCTCTACACAATAGTCTCTGGTTCAGACAATAGTTTTTAATTCAGACATTAACCTCCACCTGCATTCCGAAGTGCCAAACATAACCCTAATTTATGAGCCCGTTTGGATATTGGAAAAAATTTACATAAATATTGTGTAGAACTTTGTTGAATTCTAATCGAACACGACAAAAAATTTCCATAATTCTTAATTGTATTTTTAAAATTATTGGAAAAAAGTATTAAAAATGAGGTTTTAAAAACTGCTATAATTGTTTTACATTTGGAATGCATTTACCTAAAGTTAATTTACAATACTACCTCTATCTTAAAAAAGGTTCTATCATATTGACTTTTATTGGTCAATGATTTTGCACAATGATTTTAGTTATTATATGAGTATATAATTTATAAGTTTTATACTTTTATGAAAAAAATTGAATAAGGAACATTTTGATGTAATTTTCATATTCAAAATAATTACGTATTAAAATATCATTAGTAATAGTTGATTGCCTCACCAAAATAAAATCTCATGTTTAATTTAATGTTCTATAACTTTTTTATTTCTACTCCAGCAGTTACAAAATATATATCAAAATTCATAAATTTTTATTATCTTTCATATGACACCAATATTAAATATATAAATTTAAAAAATAATTTAACACTTTAAAACATTTGTTTTTAAGTGTTGTAACATTTTTTTATTTGTACTCCGACTCACACAAAAATATATCAAATTAATAGCTATTTATTATCTTTTAATGACACAAATATTGAATAAGTAAAAATAAAAAATAACAATTTAAATAATATCTGTTTTTTAAACTGCTATAACTTTTTTACTTATACTCTTATTGTTACATTTTATAAAAATTTCTAATTTTTTATTATTTTTCATATGACATTAATGTTGCATATATATACATCTATGAATTTGTGCACTTTATGATCGTTATTCATCATGCACACTATTAATCAGAATTAGATCTATGCAAACATATCAAATTTGTTATGCCACAAATATTACATGAGACATATAACGGTCATAAATAGCTAAATTTGTATGTTATATGAATGCAAACATTTGATGTAGCTAAAATAACTTCAACCATATATAAAATGTTTGTTATAACTTATTTTGAAAACATTACTTTTTAGATTATTTCATATAACAAATGTGAGGTATGCAAAAAAAAAATATCATCTGAAAGATAATAAAAGTTATGAATTTTGATATACTTTTCGTAACAATCACGCTACAAATAAAAAAGATACAACACTTTAAAAAACAAATATTTATTAAAGTGTTAAATTATTTTTTTATTTTTATATATTCAATATTGGTGTCATATGAAAGATAATAAAAAATTATGAAATTTGATATATTTTTTTATTACAATCAAAGTATACATATAAAACTTATAGTACTTTAAAATAAACATGGGGTTTTATTTTGTTACATCTGTTTCTTTCCCCTATTGGTATTACATATAGAGTTGGATTCAAAATATAATTTAGTCCAAAATTAACTAACGTAGAATCACTTCTAATATAACTAAATACTAATAACCGAAGTATATATAATTAATATACTAAATTGGAAATAGAATAGAAAAAATGATTACTTAGAAGATGACACATGGCAAAACTTTCCAGAATTGTATCTTTGAAATGTCACTTCTAATATAACTTAAATAAATACTAAAAACCAAAGTATATATAATTAATATACTAAATTGGAAATAGAATAGAAAAAATGATTGCTTAGAAGATGACACATGGCAAAACTTTCCATAATTGTATCTTTGAAATGTATTATCTATAGATTAATTAAATAATAACGAAAATAGGGTTGGGTTATAAGTATTTACCAATATACTGCCGGGTTAACCATGGTCGGGGTAAGTCGACCAACGGTTGGGCGACTTATAAGTCGCCAAACGGTTTGGCAACTTATAAGTCGCCCAACCGTTGGGCGACTTTCCCTCAAGTAAAAAACGGGTCTCGCCCCAAAACAGAACACTGCGTAAACCTCCCTCCCCAAATCCCCCCAAGGCGCAGCGATGACAGACGAAGGAAGAAGACGACCGAGACCATTTGCAACTCCGGTGAACCTCCATCTCCAGCGACCCCACTCCGGCAAACCTTCATCTTCTTCTTCAACACTCTTTCTTCTTTCTTCTAGGTAAATCAAACTCCATTTCATCTCATTTTCAACTTAGGGTTTTGAATGTTAAAATTTTCGAAATTTTAGATTATGAATTGATTGTGAATTCAGTTGTTGTGAAATGTGGATATGTATGAAATGTTGAAATTTTATTTTAAATTGATTGTAAATTTTATTGTGTATTTTTACATTTGGGCATTTGGGTAGATTTGAATGTAGCTAAATTTGGGTATTGAAATGTAGACTTGAATGTAGATATCAAAATTTGAGTATTTTCATATTGAAATGTGAATTGATTGTGAATTTTGACTATTGGGTATATTAGAATTTTGGTATTTTTTCTATTGAAAATTTGAATGTGTATAAAGTGTGTATATTGATGTCTACTCATGAACGTTGGACAATGAATCGTTATTAGAATATGGATTTCTCAAGCTTCTCAATTGTGTGTCATTGGGGAGGGAACTATTATGAGGATGCAGGGCAAATATGGCATGAAGGTGGTAGAACCAGCTTTGTCATGGTTTCTCGTGGCGCTTGCATGCTCGAGATCCTTCAAAAAATACATGCAGCCACAATGATTCATCCTAGCCGTTCTTTGCAGTTGAAAATGAAATTTCCCATGAACGGGGGAAAGTACATGCTTATGCCCCTCATTGATGAGCTAGCTATAACAAATATGTGGGACATAGT